GTGTGTTAATGGTGGATTGATGATTATGTTAATTATGAAATGGGTGTAAGATTTTTTCTTCTTTTGTTTTTCGACCCACTTTGTTAGCTTTTCAATTTGTAGTTTAGTTTGGTGTGTCTTGTGAATCATTTTCCTTTGCTAGTTATATCCTTTTCTCTCTACATCCAGTTCTAAACATTATATAATCGTTCCAAGTTTAAAACCTATATTGTCTTCACAAATTTTGAAAAGATTGTTATATTATAAGCGTCGAAAGAAAATATAATTTCGGCTGAACCATGGCATGGTGTGGGAGAGGTATGGTGGGTCTTCGATTTCAATATCCTCTGGTCGTCTTCTCGATAGTTCCACCGAAATTGGATTCCATTTTACCATGATTAACTTTTTCGATAATTGACAAAAGCTAAGAAAAAAGCCATTTTTCCTGGTTCTTCTTTTTACTAGTTATATATTCCCCGCGCAAGCGCGGAGCCAGGATCATTATGTTTACGTGTATTTTTTTCGATTGTTGGTTTAGTGGATTCTTCTAATGACACCAATTAATAATGAAATGGAAAATTTCATGTTTTTATATCGTAGGTCAAAACTTGATATAATTATATATTTATAGTATTTATATTTGTATTAAACGATTTATCAATATGAAAATAACCTTAATTAAGTTAATATTCGTTGCTTAAGTTTCATTAGATAGGTTTTTATATATGGTTTTTTGTAAGTTTCGGTTTTGTTCATAAATGATGTGGCATTTTTGTCTACGGAGTCATCGACTGTGGGAATTCATTCGCCAAAATCTGGAGTTGGTGGTGAGAAATGTTTTCAATGAAATTATAGTAGTTATTAAAATTTAAGAGAAATTACATATTCATTTAATAAATAACTTACTTAAATTTTGTTGTTTATTTTATTTTATTTCACATACAATTATTTTTGAAAAATATTAGGAATGTGTTAAATATTATTTATATACGAAGTAAGGTTTATAGGAATAGTTAGGATATAATATAGTTTTTAGTGTGTAAAAA